TTTAACTCCATAATACTGGAATATTTTTAAGTGTAAAAGATAGGGTCTTAAACAAAAAATCATACAGTAATCTTAGCATAAAAAAACCCCTCAATTCTAAACCACACATGTAGATTGTTGTCAAGGTGGTATATTCAGAAAACTGTTTGCTTTCTTAAGTCTCTGTTCAAATCTTTTTGAAGTCTGAAAGTTGGGAATGTCTTCAATGACTGTCAATCACTGTCTAGTGTCGATCTTTTTTGGTTTTGTGAGATTATCCAAAACACATCGGTCGCTAAATAATTTTTTTTCTTCAGCTTTTTTAGAAACATTGCCCCAAAGCAGCATGCTCGAAATCACATTCAGGCTAAATTTAAATAAAATCAAGAAAAATGTTTTCCTAAAACCTCGTTAAAAACAATAATAATTATAAACAAACAAATAATAAACTCGGGTAATCACAATTGTTACTGATGTACTAGAAACCATACCTAAAACTAAAAATAAAAAATATAGTTTAACTACCTGACGAAATGCAAAAAAAAAAAATTAACTCCTGAGTACTTCCCACATCATTAGAAAAGTTTTATCAAAGTAATAAGAGAATATTTTTAAAGGACCTAAAATATGGGAAGTGTTTTAAATAGGGGACGGAAAGTGCGACTATAAAATCCGACAGCACATTGAGATATAGCAAAAGTTGCCTTTCCAAAACAAAGCAAAAAGAGATACTATTTTTAAGAAACAGGAAAATTTCGTTAGAAACAAAGAAAATAGTTCTGAACTGTGATGTAATATCAATCCTCCGATCTGATAGTGAAAGTTGGACAAATAAAGAGGCGACTTCAGGCAACAAACATGGGGTCCTACGGAAGGACACTGAGAATCCCATAAATCTAACTTGTGAGTAACGATGAAATTTTAGAGAAAATGGAAACAAAAATGACACTTCAGAAAGAGACATAGCACTTTTGACGAAAGAAGGATTGGTAAACTTGATACTCACAGCACAGACTGAAGGTCAGAGAGACAGAGGAAAAAAAAAAGCATAACTTACCTAGAGCTTCAGTAAATGCAGGGCAGGGTTTAGGAAAGATAACAAAAAAGTCAACATTTATTTATATTTTTTTTTAATAGCTACAAAGAACAGGAAATTGTGAAGAGCCATGATCACCAACGTCCTGAAGGGACACGGCACATAGAATAATAATAATAATAATAATAATATTACTGGAATTCGCTTAAATATTCTCATATATCCACAGAATTCTACATATTTTACAACAATTACTTTCATTCATATTTTGTAAACGAAACCTGTGGCATAATTTTAGTTTTTTTTTCTGACTGAATTTTATCTTTAAACTGTGCATAAATTTTATCTCTAAATACACTTTTTAATTAACAAAAGATTTTAATCTTTTATACACATTTTAAATGAAATTATACAATTAAGAAAAATTATGTTGGAATGTCGGCTATATAGTGTTGACTTTTAGTTTTAAAATCTCTTAAAGTTTCTAGTCGAAACTTCGAGGCAGCTTTTAAAATACACAAGCAGATTCAAAACAGAAATATTTTTTAAATTAAATTTATTAGAAATAATACACTAAGACTTTTCAAAAATAAGTAAATAGAATTAGTAAAAAAAAGGCGTAGTGCTGGTTAAACTTGCTGTCACTTGATCTCAAGTGAAAGCCATAATGATGTGTAACTTTAGTGAGTAGAAATTATAAGAAAAAATGATAAAGTTAATTAAAACAACATTATTTGAAATAAAATCAAGAAAAATTTTAAATTACGAAAAAAATTATCTGTAAGTCAATAAACAATTATGATAAAATTGAATTATGTATGATAATATATATGAATTATACATTGAATTATATATGACTGTTTTTATCTTATTGATATGTTTAAAATTAAACATATGTTTAACTTTTGTTTATAAAAGATCATGGGAAAAGTTAAGTTTAAAATTTAAATTGTTTTAATTATAAACATGTCACAATTTTAATAAATGGATTTAAATGGAGTTTTAAAAAGATAAGATTTTTTTACAACTAATAAAAAATAAAATTATTGCGTGGTCGATTAACAAACAGCAAGCTTACTCAAGTAAGATTTCTCGCGTGTATAACTTGGATGAAAAAAATATAAGTCACTTTTACGAGTGTTTGCGTGTGTATTTAAATGTATTTGTTTTCTTTTCTTTTTACTTCAAATGAAAGTGACATTTTTTAATAATTCTGGATATGGGGAATTATTTTTGTAAAAGTTTATTAAATTAAAAATGGAAAAAGTTTCACGGTCTTAGCATTTATTTATTTATTATTTATTTAATTTACTTTCGTTAAATCCACCGTAGAAAGTTACAGACACCAAGTAACACTTATGAAATGAAAACATTTATATTTTTTTTTATCACACACGCTAAATTAAATATCTCTCTTTTTAAAAACAGACACTTCAGATGTTCGTAACTATTATTAATATTATAAGTTAAATTAAAACATCATATACGCACCTCTCTCGAAATAAAAGTAAATCAGGTATCCAATAGGGGTCGATTTCATTTACAAAATCATCAATAGGACAGACGAGTTCTTTGCACAGAAAGTTAGAACGTTGATGGCTATCTCCATTCTTGTTGTGTGGGTAGTGTCAGAGAGGCACGTTTTTTTCATTTTCTTTTTTTTTCACATATTTTTAAGCAAGGTAGTTGTTGCTGCTATGGAAATGTTGCAGTGATAGTAAGAGAGAAAGAGAAAAAGAAAGAGAGAGGTCCGATTCTCTACACCTTGCTGCTTGGCATCTTGTCTGGTTAAGTTTGGTGAGATAAATGCATGTACATTCATTGTGACTGGCTTTCTTTACAAGGAAAGTACGGTCGCCAGTTCTACGTCACTTGTTTCGGAGTTATTCGCTTGATGCGTGAGTGCGTGCGATCGCGCGCGCACGTGTCTGTGTATCTGTGTTTGTGAGAGAGAGGGAGAGAGGTGTCGTATATGTGTGTGTGTACTAATGTAGTCTTTTTTTCATCCCCATTTTACTTTTTAGTAGTATACAGGTATCAAAAAACTTAACATACGATTTATTTATTTATTACTTTTTTTTTATTGCCGGCTATCGAAAGAGCTCGGCAGTCACTCGGATTTCTCTATTTTTCTCACGCATTCGTTTTTTCTTTCTTTTCTTTTTTTTTATGAAAATACACAATAAATCAGCTAATATTCCTCAAATAAAGTTTCAGAAAAATATATTTTATTTTTGGAAGAATTTTTTAATATAGAAAATTTCATTAAGATGACAGATGACTAAAAAAAAAGTGGGGCGCTAATCAGCTATTTTACTTTAAAAAAAAAAAAAAAAAAAACGAAAAAATTAAATCGACTCCAATCAATAATTTGTTTGAAATACACCACCGGAGTATTTTGCTTACTAGAAATAGTAAATTTAATCCTTTAGGTTTTAATTAAAGCTAAAATGAAAGCTTCCAGAAAACATTTAAAATTTTTCAAATCCATTTTTTAAACCTTAAGTATCGCGAATCAACTAAAAAAACATTTCTATAAACTTTTGTGACGCTTTCTAATTTTAGTCAAGTGTAATAAATAAAGTACTAAAAGTCTAAAATTAAACTAATTTTAAAATTTAAATTAGCACTTTCTCAGAAAATGACGAAAATCAATTATTTTTTACTTTTTTTAATAACTGCCATATCTATACCGTCAAACTAGTTTCACAGACCGTTACTACTGTGAGCTCAATCCTCATTGGGGATCCCAGATGTTTAACTTTATGTCTGACTAAGCCAAGCTTAGTAAATACCTAGAACAGATTGCCATTTCGAACTATAAACAATTATTATGCTATACTGAGATCAATTCACATTGGGTGCTCAAACCTTAGGCCTTGTGCCAGTCAAAACCCTAAGCCTTAGTAAATACCTAGTGCACTTTGCTGTAGTGCAATTGTTAGCAAGCAAATATCTTAAAGTATTCTACCTAATAACCAAAAATAAAATGAGCACGGTCCTCATTGAATCCTCAAACTTTTTGGCCTTGTGCCAAACTTAAGTTTACTAAATACTTAGAGTATTTTGATATGAACTAGTGTTATCAAACAAGCTTCGTAGTCCATTGCAGTAGTGAATCTGATACTCACGTATAGTGCTCAATTGTATGGCCTTGTGTCAGCCTTAAGAAATAAATAGATACGACGCTTCACTATGAAGCAATGGTTAGGTAGTCTTTCAGACCATTAAAACTTAAATTAGTTTGAGCTTTTACTAAGTTCCTCACACTGGTAGCCTTGTACCAGACTTATCTATGATTCGTATGTACGTATTTATTTATCAAATTCATTTTATACCAAACTTTTACTTACTAATTTTGTTGCTAAAAACTAAATTTAGATCACAAGTCTAAAGCCCCGAATGACATTTGAACTCAATAGTAATGGTCAACTAGACGTGCTCGTTAACCATTACCCATCTCTGCCGTAAATCTACTAAGTTTAACTAAGTTTGGCCACAGGTATGGAGTACCGAGTGAAGATCAAACTCACTACTCAGTAGTAATGTTCAACCAGACTAGCTCGTTAACCATTACCCCACCCTGAGGTGCGCAAAATAGTTCTAAGCTTAACTAGGTTTTTGTACAAAGCCACAAATATGGAGCACCCAGTGAGAAAGAAAACCACTACATAGTAATAATGACCAACTAGACTAGCTCATTAACCATTTACCCTATGCCAAGGTAATAAACTAAACATATAGTTTGGCACAAGACTATGTAGCAACGAGTTCGGATTGAACCGATTACTGGTAATCAAGAATAGCTCGTTAACCATTATCTTACTTCGAAGCATCCTGTTATTTACAAAGTGTAGGGTGGCACAAGGACAAAAATATGGGGCACCTAGTGAAGAATAAGATCATTAATTACGTGGCGTCGAAGAACCCATATTTATTGCTTATGTTGAGAATAATGTTGAAACAATGTATTTTTTATGGAAATCTATTGGCTAATAAAAATTAGTGATAATCTTGTTCGTGAATTACGCAGGGAATGTGTGACCAAGAAAAAAAATAATATACGGCACTGTAAGAAGAAGAAGAAGAAGAAGAAGAAGAAGATTCGAAAGAGCCAGGGTTGAATGCTAGTGTAGTCGTCGGCAAGTAAGAGGGGAGGAGAAATGGGTGCTCGGGGTGGGACAATGAAAATAAAGGATGTGAGGAGGGCGGAGTTTGGAAAAAAAAACGAAAGTAAAGAGAAACAAATACAAAGAAGAAAAAAAGACAAGTTTTGCGTGATAAAGCAAAAAAAAAAAAAAAGCAAAAAAGAAAACAAAAACACAATCTGCAAATGCGGCAAAACCGAATACAAATGTAGATCAATAAGTCCGTAGCATGTTACCTAGTTATTAACTGGATTTTAATCGGGAATCTTCATTGTATAATGTCCAATCTATGTGATTTAATATTTACATTTGAATAGATGCTTCCACTAATTCCCTGAGGTTTAAAATGAATTTTAAAAAAATGGAAAAGCCTTCTTGAAGCTTTCATTTTAGTTTTTTGAATGAGGAAAGAGATTATGTTGAAAAATGTCTTCTATAAAATAAAAGCATTTTTTTAACATTTAGCTGATGGAAAATATGCATGCAAGATGTTTTAGATAGAAACCTTTCTTTTATACATGATTCGTTAAATGTGACGGACAAGGATTTTTTTTTTAATTTTTTATTTATTGATTGATTCGTTTTCTACGGCTTATCAACCCTTCGCTGCTTATTTAAAGCCAGAAAATATTTTGAGAGTGTAAGAGTTTTTTTTTGATAATAATGATTTATTGATACAAACCTTAATTAAACCAAAGCTGGGTGATAAGAGATGGATTCATAACTAACTCAAGGGTATTTGCGCGTAAGTGAATATAACGAGCCCA